TGAAGAAACAGCTTACATACATGTGCACGTACATGCAAGGTTAAAGTAGCGACACTTAACATACACCTGTTTTTAAATGATATAGTTTATACATTACTGACAATTAAACGCTTTGGGTTGCAGGACAACAACGTAACGTCAAAAGACAAAGACACTGGTCTGAGGATTAAGTGAGGACACGACAAATTTAGTGGTTAAAAGGGTCGACTTGGGACATGTTTTGTTGATTGTTTAAGACAAATGACTACTGAATGATAGGAAATTCCTTTTTAGGTTTCTAAACAGGATCTTAAGAATTTTAACACGTACCTGTGTTGTCCTGTCAACTTGAGGGTTATGAGTTGATTATATGGTGAAAAAAAAAAAAAAACAAAAACAAAAAAAGGGGGGAGACGAGATCTCGTTGTTTCTCCCCTCTCGGGATAACACAGCCAACACAGCACAGCCAACACAACATCATTTTCCTGTTCGCCTGTTTTGTTTTGTTTTTGTTTTTTCTGAGAGCCGAAGCTGACCTGGACTCCTACCCTCCCCTCTACCATCGTTGCCCTCTCCGCGACCATCTTTGACCCTTTGACCCCTGAAGGCCACAGCAGCTGGACTCACAACAACAACTTGAGGATGTCAACAGTGCTGCAAAAGAGTGATCTCATGCAGCAGAGACGGAGAGCACTAAACCTAAAGCCCGTTTCACTACACGGGGGAAATTCCCAGGCTGCGTCAGCTGACAGAGCTGTGACGAGACGCGCATTAAGCCCGGAGGAAAAGGGACGGTGAGCAGAAGGATGCTGACCTCTGAGAAGAGCCGAACAGCAGAGCTGCAGAAGGCCGTGGAGCAAAGTAAGGACAACATAAACAGACCCAAAGAGGAGGGGAGGACCCTAGGCCATGCGTCAGGCCGCTGGTTTACCTAAACTACAGAACAGGAAGGTGATGAACACAAACATATACCAACACACGAACACACACTTCTGCATGCGCCTACTTAGAATGAAGGGAAACACACACATGAACACTTATGCACTTGTTGAGGGAGTAAAAACTGATACATACCCATGCACTAAAATCAAAATGTTGATTTAATTTACTAAGAAGTGACACACAATGCTCCAGCTGCTGCAATGAAGAATGCTTTACTGACAAAGGCTCAATGCTGCACACAACAAAGTCAAATACAGAATTTGCTATAATAATAAGCCCAGAGGGCATTTGTGTGGTCTGGGGAGCAGAGTCCGGAGCGGTTTGGTTATGAAAATGATGCCCGTGCGAGATATCTGGGGCTTAAGGCCTCGACTTAATTGTTTACTCTACACTAAAAAGAAAAGAAAACACTCTGAGCAGTGGTGCAGAGTGAAAACGAGGAATTAACAGTGTGAGTTTATTTCAGAGCGCCACGTCATTGTGATGGAGATTTAATAAAGGAGGAACACACGGACAAAGAAGAAGAGAAGGGGGGCAGCCCTTGAACGCGATTGCCTGAGGCATTAAAGTTCTGTGCTAAATTCTGGTTTCCAGTGTGAGAAAAGTCACGCAGTGCCAGTAGTAGAGCTAGGTTGAGTGATGATTCTAAATTACTGTAAGTAAATCATCGTACACCGTTCAAGTTTCATGATAACGGGGATCTAGACTTTGTTGAACCCTAGGCAATTTGAACAGGTAAAAGTCGAGTGACCAAGTAGCAGTTGAATAAAAGTCATTGAATAAGTGTTGAAATAAACTGGCAGAATTAAGAGAATTAAAACATTTCAAGAGCTCAACTTACTTAATGGTTCAATTTTGTTTCACGAACGCAAAACATATAGGTTTATGAATATGAAAAGGTTGAGGTGGTGTTGATTTGACTCTGTGTAGGTTAGGTTGGTATTTTTATTGATGGGAAGAATATTCAGTGACAAGTCCTAAGACCCGGGCGTCTGCATTTTGTTTTTGTTATTTTTCATTTTATTTTGTTTTATATTTACTGATTTTTGTTTGTGAATCTTTTCTTTAAGCAGATCTGCACATCGGAAATTACAAGCATTACACGTCGGCGAGAAAATTGTTGTAAGTGAGTTTCTCCGCATTGAAATGGGTTCTGGAGGAAACACTTGTGGGGACAATTAGAAACGAGAGTCCCTGTTTAAAAAAGGATTCAGCGAGGTAATCCAAACTCAAGTTCTTGTTTCTTTTTGAGATGACGTCATTTTGCTGAGTGTGGAAACTAGATGCGACGACAGGTTTCACTATCAGCAAAGAACGGATGAATGGATGAAAGACTGGGAATAAAAACAAACGGACTGACTGGTAAAAGATGACAAGACTTGACCATGACTCAAGGTTAACCACCTCCACCTAGATAGGATAAAAGGTGGATGAATTTATGTGGGTTTCTTTTACAGGAGTAGAAGGATGACAAAATATTCGAGGATGAGTGAACCTGTAAATGCCATTTTTGTGTCTTGTGTTGCTTACAGAGGTAACTGCGCAGCGTTACCATTTACATTTTCTTCCCTACAGGGTTACAGTTTTAATGTTTTTCTATTACAGGATTTCTGGGCGGATGTGTGAAGAAACGGTGTTTATGGGTTAGGAGTTGGGGATGCTATTACACTGTATTCTGGTGAGAGTGTTGGGGAGACACACCCTGTCTTGAAAACTGTGATTCTTTTACAGGAAATGTTTTATAGCACCTATGGAATGAGGATGCCTGACTACGGTCAATGTGCTGCTAATGTTTGCTTTGCTTTGGTGAGAGGGGTGCAGTAGAAAACAGACAAGTGACATGAAAACAAGTAATAATAACAAATAACAAATTTGGGGACAGTTTGACCTAGAGCCCACTAACTGGCCATTAGGGGCTGGCTCTCTCTCTCTCTCTCTCTCTCTTCTCTCTCTCTCTCTCTCTCTCTCTCTCCTCTCCTCTCTCTCTCTCTCTCTCTCTCTCTCTCGCTCTCTCTCTCTCTCTCTCTCTCTCTCTCTCTCTCTCTCTCTCTCCTCTCTCTCTCTCTCTCTCTCTCTCTCTCTCTCTCTCTCTCTCTCTCTTGGAATAACATTGCCCAAAGGGTGAATAAAGCAAATTGTGGCAATAATAGTGATTTAATGATTGGAGAAACCTGAACATGATACTTGTCTGTTGAGCTGAATCGTTTATTACTCTTATGATTTTCCGGTGGGACTATGAAGATTTTTTGGTACAGATTGCAGGTTGTTGCTCTTTAACTCCTAGAACACGCCCTTGGCGAGGTGGGGGAACTGGACCACCTTTCTCTGCCCCATCATCCTCTATTAGACGACATCCAAGCTAAGTAAACATGTCTTGGCCCTTTCCCCCTGAAATGACAGGCAGGCAAAGATGTTGCGTCTTTGTTTGCTTCCTGGCCCTGGGTCTCATTCCCATTGGCATAATCCTGATCTGTGAAGGGCCCCCGACACTTCTGACACCTTCAAGTTCAAAAGCTTCGCCCCCTTCTGACAGTCCCAATCTGACAAATGTAGCCCCTAGGGTCTTGCCCACCACTTCCTCTCCAGTTTTACCATATTCACTTTTGAATGTCCTTAGCAGTTACCGTTCTGGGTTTATTTTACGGTTGATTTATTCTTTCACATTTTCACGTTTATATCTCTCATTATTATAGTATACTCTGTACTCTCCACATTTTTATCATTACTTATGCTTTTTGGTTGCTGAGTTACAGGAACTGTTAATTTTGTGTCACTACCCTGGTTGCACTAACTCGTTGTATCCGTGTGTGCAGGACAGCTGTTACTGCTTTCGTCGGGAACCGAGACTGCTTGCAGCCGACCCCTGGGCAGGGTGGTGCCTGGACTCTTTTCTCCTCATCTGCAATGACAGATAAAGACAAATGATAAGACCCGAGGAGTTTTTCGAGCCAGGCTTCGACACGTCTCTGTGTTCCTTTGAATGTTACTTATTTTTGTGTGTTGACCCATTTAAGATGGGTCAAAAGGGGGATTTGAAGAAAATATAATCTGATCAAACATTATTCAGCTTTAAATATTGTTCAGCTTTAAAGTTACTGTGCAACTGTGTAATAAAAATGTGTGCTCACGACTTTGGCCTTGAGAGCGATAAGAAGCGATCGCCTCATCCTGCAGGCGAAAGATATCTGCAAGCGAAGAACACCCAAGGCCGCTTTCCTTTTATGGAGTTGTTTTTCTGCTAATGCAGCACTTTCCTCACAACCCCCTCCTGTAAGTTTTAGAGAATATATACCCATCCTCACAGCAAATATGAGGAATCTCTTGATGTGAGCTGTTTTTGAGAGGTTGTCTCTGTCTCAATAAAAGTTCACTGATTCCCCCATCTGCTGCAGGTGTCCGGTTGTCTTCATTCTCCGCCAGCCTGGTTAAGTCAATTCCTCCTTAACATCTAAAAGAACCTATTTAATGAAGGAAGACGGTTCACTTTGTGTTTAATATTATTCTATTGCTGTTGTTGTGTTTTTTATATCCTTCACCAGCATGTACCCAACCTCTCGCCCTGTGTCAGCTGGGATAGGAGATGAAGTCAGAGATGCAAGGCTGAGACTGTTTTGGACATGAGCAAAAGAGAGGTAGTGGATATGTTGGGCAAAGGACGTTGAAGACAGCTACCAGGCAAAAAGAAAAGAGGAAGTCCACATAAAAGGTTCAGGCATGAAGTAAAGGAGGGCCTGCAGAGGGTTTGTGTGACAGAAGAAGATACTACGGATAGAGTGAGAGTAAGATGACTTGTTATGGCCATCCCTAAAGGGAGGAGTGGAAATAAGAAGAAGAAGAAAGAAACTGGCTGGTTGTAATAATCACAGATTTGATGTTTATTCATTAATGTTGGTTATAAATTGCTTTTAACTGTAAGTTTTTTTAATCCTTGTATGCACACACTAAGCTAAACGTATATGTTAAATAAAATCCATATCACGTGTGCAGAATTTCATGCCGTCCAGGGAAACGTTACACCTGTCTGAATGGGCACACATACTTTATCTTCCCCGATGCTTAAACACAAATGTGTTCCCTACCTGTGTTATCAGAGCTGGTGTCCACTGTGGTATAGACTTCTAATTTGCTGTTAAGCTCCAACTCCAACTGATGCAAATTTTGTTCTTTTATAGCTCTTTCCACATCTTCAGTAAATTGGATTTGCTCAGCCAGACACAGGATCTACATGAAAAAATGCAACATTGTTTAATGCTGGGGAGAAAAAAAACGTATTTTCTTTTACATCACAAGCTTTAAAGAATATTTTTAAAAAGCAGTTGTATAAATGAGTGTGTGCACCTGTGATGGATAACGAGAGGGGTCCACTTCCCCTTTCTTTGCTGCTGACACACATTCATACAGCAAGTGCTTTAGGGTCTCCTTCATTTCCACAGACAGCTCACTTAACCACACCTAGAAACGAAGGAAAACTGTTTATGCAGAACCACAAAGGAAGGTTCAAAGAAAAAGCATATAAAACGTTTAAAATGAATACACATTTGTGTTGCTTTGAATACATTTTTAAAAAGGATAAACATACTACAAGTACCTCCTTAGACCTCCAACAATGATAATACTATTTATCCATTTATATACATTCATAGCTTTACCTCCACAAGGCTGTAAATGTGTACAATATTTCTGAGTGGCACAATTTCTCCCTCCAAAGAACACATGGCGACAATGTGCTGGCATTGCTCATCAAACACAACACTGTGGATGCCTGCAAAGGGAATATATATGCAGACTACCTTCACTATCCAATACAACCGTTATGATTCAAACAATATGAACAAATATAACAAAAGGGGGAAAACAGGCAGAAGACAGAGCGACAGCAGATAAATGCAAACGATCATCAGCAACAACAGAATGTAAGAACACACATGTCTCTGACCTGCAAAGAGTTTTTTTAGGTGTGACTGGATGACACTAGGGTTGGTTGCCTGCCCAAGAATTTCTAACAGATCATCATCCCCAATGAAATAGAACCGTGGGAAGGCAGACCGTTTCTCCTGTGATGCAGACACAAAACCACATTTAGGTAGTGGTGATATTTGAAACCCATGTGAAAGAAAGCAAATGTCTTCTCACACGTGCGTATTCACCTCCAGGAACTCATTGAGTGACTTTTGGCAGCGCTGTAGTTGGTCCAGTATGGTGACGAGGGAGTTTCTGATGCCAGCCCTCGAACTCAGAGAAACAACTCTGTTGTCTCTCTGGATGTCTGACATTATAGACCTAAGACACGGAGCGAGAAGATGTTCAGTTATGCCAGTTTCTATTTGTCAGCAAAAGAGAAGCCACATGTAGTTTATGGTATATTATCACATGTAGTATATAGTGGTTTTCTAATCTTACTGAACACTCAAAGTGCGTCAGACTACAAGCCACATTTAACCACACAGTCAAATAGTGTTTTATTCTATACATTGCAAACATGGAGGTCTTTCAACTGTCAGAGGAAGCTAGACTACCCAAAGAAAACTCATGCACTCGTAGTGAGTGCGCACATTCAAACACCAGAAGGAAAGGTCCAAATCAGGAACGTTCTTGCTGTGAAGTATCAGTGTTAGCCACCATTGTGCCTAAATGGGCAAACGCTTCATTTGTGTTATTACACAGAGCTGCACACACTGTACCTGAAGTCCTCATCAACTCGTTTGAAGCGAGCTTCCTCTCGGGGCAATGCTCCTCGTCCAAAAATGGGCTCCAAATAAACCCAGCGCCTCTGGATGGCATTCAGACTGAGCAGATACTCATCCAAGTCGGACAGACGAACTTCCCACAGACTGACCTGGATATACGTGGAGTAAATACTCAAACCTTTGTCACAGTTTCTTCATCAGGGATTAAATGTTAATATATAAATGAACCAAATTTGTTTTTTAAAAACTGCATGTACCAATACAAGCTGAGAAAGGTATGTGAAAAGTACTTTTTCCATACATAAAAAAAATTAAGCACTTAAAGTTTATTCATAGATTTAAAGACCTTGACCTGACCTTGTCCTGGAAGCTGCGGTAATAAGGGGAATCTTTTAGCGACTGCAGCAGACAGCGATTATCTCCCACCTAGATAGACAGAGAAATGGTGAAAACGTAATACCTAATACATAAGATGTCATTTAGGCATTTAGTGTCAACTATGTCTCCCTAACAATTGAGTCAAGTATGCTCTTTTATTTGAACTGCCTGACATAACATTTCACTGATGTACTGAAACAACATTTGCATGTAAATATGGACAGCAACATTTAAAGAAGCAAGTACTAATTATATAAAAAAAAATTTTTTAAAAACAATAACACTGTTTCACAATCAGACACAATGGGTTCTATCTTGGTAAGCCTCTACAAACCTTATGTATGGGTCATTCTAAAGCAGGGGTCTCAAACTTTCGGCCCGGGGGCCACTTGTGGCCCACGTCACTCCTACTTGACGTGAAGAAATGTAATGCAATTACATATTGAACTTTTTTTGTAGGCATGATTTGTTTGTTGCTGAATGCAATGTTGAAATAAGTTCTTTAAAAAGCAAAAAATGATTTAATATGAAAACAATATGAGCAGAGAGTACAAACATGTTGAGGGATTGGCTGTGTTGGTTCAGTGAGAGAGTTATTTGTAAAGAAAACAATTTTCACTAGAAGTCAAAAACTAATGTGTACACTTACGTCTGCATTTTTATTTTGTTAAATACAAACAAAATTAGAGTAGAAGTGCTGCCACGCGTTTGATCAGAAAGACAGTAACAATTTGTTTATTTGATAGTTCAAAGTAGTAGCAGTTGAAAGGCCTCAGTTAAGAGTGAGGAAAAAAAATTACGTTCACATTTGCAGATTTGTCTTGTTATACAATATTTGACATTTAAAGAAAACTAGCAAAACACTATATTTCTGGAAATATTTGTGGGTGTTTTTGTGTTTGTTTGTTTGTTTTTGTATTACTTGAACACTAAAGTGGCCCTCCAACGAGATGGCAGTGCCATCAGTGGCCCACAGCCCATTTTGGTTTGAGACCCCTGTTCTAAAGAGTTCATTGGATTCAAGTGTGGCACTGATGCAACAAGTCAGCTTGTGAAATTTCTACCCTTGTAAATATTTCACAATAAGTGGCATTACTACAAAGTGGAAGTTTCCAGAAACCACTGAAACTCAGCCACAAAGTGTCAGAGTGCCAAGTGCTGAGGTGCATAGTTCGTAAAAGTCGCCCTCACTCTGTTGACTCAGTAAGTCGACCAGACCGCCTCTGGCATTAAGATCAGCACAAAAACTGAGTTTGCTGAGATGAGGTTTCCATAGCTGAGAAGCTCCTGTACTGTATGTGTAGGCAGTCTTGTACTTTTGTCCATATGTGGTATATTCAGGGCTCATGTTCAGATACATTTGTGTTCAAGAAGTATCTTAAACCACGTTAGCCTAAATCACTAAAAGCAATACTTTAGTACAAAAAAAGTGTATAATTGCAGCAAATCCCTTTGTGGCTCTTTTTCTTATTCAATTTCCTCTGATAAATTAAACTAGAGGAAAGAAGCAGCAATCTTGTGCCACCCTATCCAAGGATATAATGAAGCTCAATTATATCTAGAGGCCATCGCAGATTCAATAGTCAACAATATAGAACATCTAAAACAATCCAATCTAGACAGGCAAAAGATTAACTACAGCAGGACAAATGTAAAGCAAGATGAGGATGAATGAGCGCAGCAGATAACTGAAGCTGTTTCTCAAAAAGGGATGCAAGTGCCAAGATTTGCCTGTTTGTCCCTCTGGAGTCATTAAACAGAAAAATCTCATTAGCCACTTGAATGTTCAAAATGTCTAAAGTTTCCTATTTGGCCATCATTTCCATCTTAGCAAACAAGTGCTTCTTTAGTGAATTTCAACAAGTGGATATATTTCAGGGGTTTTAATCTCGATTTGTATTCTTTTTACTATAAGTAAGTAGCTAATTTCTAGCTTATTTCTCTGAACTATCTCAAGCACTGTGCTGCCCAGCAATTTCTTATAGGCTAACTGCACCTGAGCTAACTACATTAGATCTCTGTGTTCAACCTTCTCCTAGTTTAGTTCACAATAAATGAACTGCAATTTATACAGTACCTTTTTACACTCGCATTTTTAATGTAACACCTGCAAACCTAGATGGAGGCATCAAATGGTACTGATGATTCAGGATCTTGCCTAAAGGCACTTAAATTTAGCGTTGCAGGAACTGAGGATCGAAACATGGACCTTCTGAATAGCAGACAACCTGCTTTCAATTCTGGGTCACCATATACAACATGATTTTTGTGGGCCATAAAAGAGAACCAGACAACCAGGGAGGGGTGCAAGGTCCATCCAGGAGATGTGACTATTTTTCATAAAATGATTTATGGTCAACTCTAACCAATTAAAAAAAAACTCAATTTACTTTCCTAGTCAAACTTCAGAGATTCAGTGTGGCATTGTGAACCAAATCTGCATTTTATATTTGTACACAACAGCTGACTTGATGTCTTTTTTTTATGTGTGCTCCACATCTACCTGGTTGACAATATCCTTCCAGTCCTTGATGAGGGTGAGAGTGCGCCCACTGCTGTCTGTGTACTCAGTGAGGGTGAAGGTAGCTGCAGCTCCCCACAAATCCAGCTCCCTCAGAGCTTCTCTGATCGTCACCTCCGCCTGAGCACGACTGTTCAGATCCTATATCAATGTGCACCACATGCACACACAAAAAACACACGCCTCTGCATCAGTCATATTGGGTTTTGCGTCTGGACCGCCCGTTTGCCTCATTACATTTCCAACACATCACTGAAATCTGCCAACATGCCAACTTTTTCTAAAAAACCTGGAAGACTAACATTTCTCAGCTTCGAGTCGTGATGTACTGACTTTTTCACTTCCATTTCTGTGTTTGTGCGTGCACCGTGTGAGAGGTTGCTTTAATACCCTCAGGATTTCAAACAGGTTTGATTTTCTTGCGATTTTCTTGATCGGGAGCTGGTCGTGAGGTGTTAATCGCTTCTCGTTACCCCATGTATACTACATGTTGCACGACACATGATTAAGGCGAAACTCGGGCCAATCCAAATATACAAATGCAGGCCAAAGCAGCTTTATAGATATCAGTTACGATCTTTATCATGCCATTACTGAAAATTACTGAGTTCTGATTCCCTAAAGATTAGGGCGCTAAAAAAGACATTTATATACAATTTCAAAAGTGTGTTTGTACAGACCTTGAGCTCCATTGCTTTCTCTATGATGGTATTTGCCACAGCAAGAAGATCACTAAAGGTAAGTCTCTCTAAAGTCATCCCTCTTGGGAGGCCTAGTAAACGGAACATGTCCAACCAGTGGTCCTGAGACAGGTGGTCCCCACGTACATACTTCAGCACTGGAATCATGTTCTAGATATTGAGACGAAAAAGAAAAGGAAACAAAAACAAAAAACAAGAAAACAAAACAAGATTTGTAATTAGATCACTTATAAAGTCAGATTAAAGATTTCCCTCACAGCCGTGTAGATTCAAATGAGACGTCACAGCCCCCGAGGGAACATCCCACCTTTGCTGGGATTCCCGCTCGGGGGTGGCATGGTGGTACGACAGGGCAGCACTTACTGTTCCCTGATTTCAATTCCACCATCAGGCCGGGGCTTTCTGTGTGGAGTTTGCATGTTCACCCCTCATTTGCGTGGGTTCTCTCCGGGTATTCTGGCTTTCTCCCACAGTCCAAAGACATGCAGTTAGTGGGGATAGGTTAAATGGAAACTCTAAACTGCCCATAGGTGTGAATGTGAGTGGGAATGGTTGTCTGTGTCTATGTGTTAGTCCTGCAACAGACTGGCGACCTGTCCAGGGTGTACCCTGCCTCAAAAAGGAGAAACGAGGAGAAAGGATGGAACTGTGTACATTTTTAAGTCATGTTTCCACTTAAACAAACTGTATATGAAAATGTAGCAGCTAATTGCTGTGACATTTTCTGAGTAAACTCCAACAAGAACCAGAATAAGTTTTCTGGATATCTGACTCAGCCAAAGCATACACACATATTTCAGATAAGAAGACTTGAATTGAATACGAAAAGAAGGCAGCGACATATTATTACTTGAACTGTACTAGTATATACCTTGTATTTGTCGACTTCCTCTTGTAGTTTAACAGACATCACAGTGGGTTGCTCTAGTTTTCTTAGTCTTTCTTGCCAAGTAAACAAAAACTCCTCAAATACATATGTTTTACTCCTGTAAATTAAAAGAAAAAACACACACAATTACATGACTAAACACATAGTACTGATTAAAAACATAATCAGTACTCTACGTAAAAGTTTAGATATGAGCCCTAAACATGACCCCCCTCTACCTGAATGATATCCAGTCTTCCTGGGCCTTCTCTGAGAACCCTTGGTGCCACTCCTCATACAGACCCCACATTTGGCTGCATTCCTCCATGTCTCTTTTTGTCTCTTCGGCCACAGAGAAAGACGGAGTCTCCAGATTGAAATAGGCACAGTCTTCACTGAGGAGAGCACAGGAGAGTCAGACTTTTGGCCGTAATTGAACTAAATGCGATCTCTTCACACCAGAGTCATAACTGAAAATGATCTTGTACAAGTTTTTCATGTGGCACACGATAAAGGAAATAAAAATCCCAAATACTTTAAACATTCTAAATCTCTTAGTGAATAAACCTGAATGAAAATAAACGTACAGCAGCTTAGTGCGCACAAGCTCTAGCTCCTCAAACTCTTGCTGTTTGTCCCTGATTGTCTGAAGACATACAAGCAGGGCAGCATGATCACCAGTCTCAAGCATCTCATCTTTAGGTTTTAGCTGGTCCCAGCGTGCCTTAAACCGCTCCAGATCTGCCCTGTAAACATCGATACGACTGGCCGCATAACTTCGCATCACCTCCACCTAAGAGAGTACCATGCATGAAAAAGAAGGAGTCATTCTGAGGAAAATAGGATCTGAAAAACCAGTTGGAGCAATAAGCTGATCTAAGTGTGTCTGTATGAGTATATGTCACCTGGTCTTTGACCATTAGCTGGTGGCTCTCCATGACAAGCTCCAGCTTGTCCCACTTGGCCCTGAGTGAAGAGAGAGAGTCCAGCCCAGCTCCAGCCACCGCACGTAGCAAGCGGTTCTTCTCCTCAGCAAATTGGAACTGAGGTAGAATCTGTGTATAGACATGAAGCACAGTTTGTTTCAAATGACATGGTTAAATTTTAGACGGTTCCTTGTGGACTTATAGGACCAATGCTATAAATCAATCAGAAATATGACGAGACATACTGTAAAATGCATTAAGGAAGACAAAGCTTTTATTTCTTTGACAGGGAGCAAAATGTTTTACTAGGTGTATGAAAGTTAACCTTGAATTCTAAAATTACCCACAAACAAGGAAGGAAGAAATTTACAAAAAACCCTAACGAGCTGGGTTTAGGAGTGCTTGTGTCTTACTTCAGGTTTGCGGGCAAGTATCTGGTTATATTTGGCACTAGCCGCACCAATTTCCTCCATACTCTCTGGTCGAGTGGACAAGGCGTCCATTGATTCTGTCACAAAAGTTTCTATTGCTTGTGTGTGGCCTGCAAGCAAGAAGGAAGAGAATATACTTTCAAAAAAGGAAAACAGAAAAGGAAAGGGAAAGTGAGAGCAAAGGGGATATCTTAGAGCTGAAGAAATGGAAAACAAATTTTCAAAACACAGACACAAAATTGAGAAAGAGAAATAAAACAATGTTTTTTCATTGGTGAGATACACTTAATGTCTTTTATATAAAAGCATTTATTGATGCAAAGAGAGAAACAAAGTGGGGGCTTGGCTAGAGTGTTTTCGTTCTGCCACAAACATTACATACTGGAAAAAACAAGGAAAATCAAGGTGTCTGTGTTTACCTTGTATAGATTTCCTAAGTGAGAGGAGCAGCATGTCAAACAGCCTCTGAATCAGGTCATCTATGGCGGCTTTTACAGGCTCACAGTTGACGGTGATACAGTCCACTTTCTCCTGACTGACAAAGAACGGAGGCCAGTGACAGAAATGCAGTTGTTAAGTGTTACATTTGTGGTGTAAGTTCACTTTTAACTGCACAAACTGTACCCAATAAAGAAATATAATAAGTAAAACTATAAATGGATAAAGCAGGTCACTGACTCAGACAGTGAGACAAATTCTTAGTAGAGAACAGAACATAATGCCTTGGGCTTTTCTGGAGTGCATCATTTTCTAAAAGTTATGAATTTGATGTGTGATCTTTGCTGGTATGATTAAACAAACCTTCCCAAGCTGTTACAGAGAAAAACACTTCAGAGGACTCGATTAACAATTAACTTGTAACAAACAAAATCACTTAAGATATCAAAACAATCTGTGAATGACCTAGTTATATAAACAGTATATAACAATACAGTCTATACACTTTTTGCAATGTTTACTGTCCTTATGTGTAAGCATAAATATCATTTTCATTTCACCAGGTTTAATTACATTCGTTAATACGTGATGTGTACCTGGGTAAACGTTCTGACTCTTTTCCCTTGGCTTTCAGGGCTTTGAAATTTCTTTCCCAGTCCTGCACAGAACTCAAATGCTTCTCGATCAACTTCTCTAAATCAGTCTGTCCCAACACCACCCACTCCTGCACTCACGCACACACACACACGCACACAGGATCACAGTGAGGCGGGGTGCAGTGCATATTTCCTATTTTTAAAGGTGTCTATGTTAAAGGTGACAGTAACGATATCATCCATCAAGACATAGATGACTAAATAAAAAGAGAAGTAAAGAGAAGATGAGATAAAAGAGAAGTCTGGTGCGGGCGGAGGGCTTCCCCCTGCAATTTATACATGCATGATCGCAGACTAAAGGGAAAAGACAATAAACTGTTCTGTCATGGTAGTATGCAGGGGAACACAGCAGTGAAACAACAGCGCTTCAGTACAAAAAAAAAAAAAAAGAGAACAATGACTGATCCAGGTTTCATTCTTTCAAAGACAGCAATACAGTTATTCCTCAGTGCAGTGCTTCAGTGAGAAACTTGTGACAAGTGTTTCATTATTTTAAATATACGTACATATATAAAATGGTACGCTGCTGAAAGAAACTAAAATCAAGTCAGAACCATGATGATGATAATACTAAAGATTTAAGTGCTGAGCCAAATAACTGATCGGAAGTTATTAAATCTCGAGTCCGAATTTGACCAGCCTCAAATCCGGTCCAGGTGTCAAAGAGTTACACAACATGCAAATTTTCTTTTTTGTACATAAAACACTATACAGAGGCTCTCTTAAAGGAAAGTTAATAACAAATCACTCTCAGAGTAATTATAAAAGTCAAAACACCTTGAACTTGTGTTGTATAGCTTCCAGGCGACTAAAGAGGTCCTCAGCCTTGCTGAAAATTGTGAGGAACCCAGACGCATTCCTGTCAATCATGATGTTGAAGATGAGCTCCTCCCCCTGGGTGCTGACCCCTCGGAACTGGTTTGGGATCGAGATGAAACGCTTCATTTCTCTAAAATAGCGTGCACGCACCTCCTCAAATGGTGGCGAGAACTGTAAGCGGCCCTGCCTGTTAACAAGAACAGGATTAAAACGATTCCACGGTTTACTCTTAAATCCACATTAATCGATGATACCCTTTTAGAAGAAAGAGGAAGTGATAGAGAGTTAGAGAAAACTGTTGATATGACCAAGGGTGAGAAGTGAGAGGTGTGGGGAAAAGTCAGTAGTTGCTGTTATTGACAAGAGAAGTTGAAAATGCAGATGCAGAGAAAATGCAGAGAAGGGAAAAAAGATGACAAGAGTTAGAGGGCAGAGAGAGAAAGCAAAACCTGGACAAGTGAAATTTTGGGCACTGACTTGAAAGTGAGATCAATGTGTATTTCTGGCAAGTTCTTGTTCAGTGCTTCCAGCCCAGTCTGATACTGGTGTTCAAGAGCTTTGTACAGCTGATGGTTCCAGTGCTGACGCCATGCCCGCATGTCATCAGACCTGAAGCCCTACAGACACAAACGCACACACACACACTTTTTATTTCCTATACAAAAAATATTTTAACTATTTATCCAGAATGATTTATCCTGAAATAAGAATGTTTTCATGCTGAAAACATGGAGACATATTTACTTCCGTATTTTAATTTTTTTTATTTACTATTATAGCCAAATCAACGCAACTATTTGTAAAAAAATATTTTATGCACAAAATAAAAATCCTATTAGGCAAAACATCTGCGACACATTCCATCCAAGACATCTCCAGTCAATACCTGAGCCTCCAGAGTGGCAAAACCAGCACGAAGCTCCTGAAGACCATCCTTCCATCGCTGCTGATGTCTCAGTAGGTCAACATTCATCAGTGTCACGACCTAAAAAATGTACCCACAGATACGGAGAAGAACAAAGAGAATAGTAAGACTTTTGCTGCTTATTCCAATTTGAGTGGGGAAGTGTTGTTGCAAAGAACTGTACTAAAGGCCAAAAATTTAAATACTGTGTCTCTGCTAGCACCTTCTCAATGAAGTCAGTGTGCCATTTTCGTAACTTCCTGTTTTCGGTGGAGAGTTTTTCAGCAGCAGCCTGCAGCTTGCCAATGTAGACTTCTAACTCTTTGGGGTTGTCCCAGGTGATCTGCAGCTTACTTCCTGTTTTCTTTGACTGAGAACGAGGATTCTTACAAAGACAAGCAGACCGATTATCTCCACGTCAAGACACAAAATTGATGGCAGGCAAATTTTCAAGGTGAACAAAGTTCACCATATATATATATATATATATATATATATAAGGTACTGGCAACTCATCAACTTTGACTCTTATAACATTACACATAGAAAAGAGAATGAGTACAATTAGTATTATAAAACAATACTTTCAAATGTGTGCTGTACCTTAATGACATGCTCAAAGGCCAGGGCAAGATTTAACATCATAGGTCTCTGAGAGGGAATCATCTGCTGGTCAATGGTGTTGTAGAAATGAGCAACCTATGAAAACGGTAATATGTAACAGTACGAGCATAAAAAAAGCAATAGATATTCATAAAGATATCCACAGATATACCCTGGCTACTATGTTAGGAATACATGCTCAACTGCTCTTTAACAAAAATATCTAATCAGCCAATCACATGGCACCAACTCAATGAATTTAGTCTAAGTCTGAATCTGAGCGTTTCAGAAACTGCTGATCTGCTGGGATTTTCCTTCACAACCATCTCTAGGGTTTACAGAGACTGGTCTAAAAGAGAGAAAACACCAGCAAGCAAACTAAAAAGACCTTGTCAGACTAATTCAGGAAGGCAACAGGAACTCAAATAACTATTTGTTACCACCAAGGTATGCAGAAGAGTATCTCTGAACACAAATCACACCAAACCTTATTGCTATATTGGGCTTTACTAACAGAAGAGCATTCTGCATGCCATTCCTGTCAGGTAGTAGCAGGAAACTGAAACTAAAATTCTCATGGGTTCAACAAGACTGGACAATAGAAGATTAGAAAAAGCATTCCCTGGTCTGATGAATCTCAATTTCTGCTACAACATCCAGATGACAGAGTCAGTATTTGGTGTAAACAACATGAAAACATGGCTCTATCCTGCTTTATATCAGTGGTTCAGGCCGGTGGTGCTGGTGTAGTGGTGTGATGGTCTGAAGGATATGTTCTTGCCACACTTAGGCTCCATATTAAATACTGATCATCATTTAAATGCCATAGCCGGTTCTGCCGGAGGTTTTTTCCTATTAAAAGGGAATTCTTCCTTCCCACTGTCACCAAAGTGCTTGCTCATTTGGGGTCACCTGACCTGATTGTTGTGGGGGTTTTTTACCTTACAACATAAAGTGCCTTGAGGCAACTGCTGTTGTGATTAGGCACTTTATAAACTGTACTCAAATGGCCTCCACGATTACCAGATCTCAATCCAACAGAGCACCTTTTTTGGGCAATGGGCAAACCCAGGATGTAACTCAGGACTTCCTGCACGTAACAACTGAAGTGGCAACTGAATGTATATAAATAAATTAGGAAAGAAAAAATATTGCATGTCTTAGCTTCCGCTCTCACCTGTTTTAGGACAATGGCTTGTCTGTAGAATTTATCTGCAGTATTAGCAGCCAGTTGTATCTTGGCTGGGATGGAAAAGCCCAGGGCAGAGAGCTGCCTGACCTCCCTGAGCAGACTGACTAGTCTGTCTGAGTACTGAATCTTGAGTCTGCCATCATCATGGTCCAGCTCCATCACACGGTTACTGGCCTGAAGACTATACAGGGTGTGAGAATAGAGAAGTGCAAAATGTAACATCCATTCAAGCCAATATTCGTTCCACTCTGGGTATTTTAAATGATTAAATAAAAAATACAAAAAAACAGCATACAATTGCAAAAGGATTTAATAACATTGTAGAATTGCATGCCTCTTTCAAACTTGTATATTAATGACCAACATACTCTTCTGTGATGCTTCAACTGAAGTTCTTCTTTACACTTTCATTTCTAGGATTTTGTAACCTAAGGTCAAAATATTACAGACCTGATCCCTGACTTTGGGTCAGTCAGCTCAGAAAGTATATCTCTTGACCAGTCCTCAAACTGCTCTTGTTCATAGGCCCTCAGAATCTCCAGCAGGTCATCACAGAAATGCAGGAACCCTTTGAACCCAGAGAGATCTGAAAGCAGAGCCTCAGCTAGGCGGACAGAGTCTTCCACCTATTGTAAGAATGAAAGACATGAAAATAAAATACATTTTCTTTTGACTGTCACAGAAATTATTTTGTATTTGACATATTAGAAACAAAAAAAAACTGCAAATGTAACAGTTGTTTTATAGCACTGTACAAAAGTCTTGAGCACTCTACATTTATTTATATCTTGCTTTCAAGAATGAGACTGTCTCAAAATGTTTTAAAGTGGTCTTGAGCAATTGTTCTTCAGACTTTCTGAAGTTTTTCCAAAGTTTTTCTTTAAAGATTAGCTGCTTTTTCACTCATTTTCAGTCCACTCCTTGTACCTGACCATTTTCAAAGGTTTTTTTTATGTTTTTAAGCTCCTAACACTGACCTATGACTTATTCCAGCATAAAAAAAGGCACCTAACTAAATATATAAGCCAGCATTGTGTCTACATATGGGAGAAAACTTTATTTGCTATCTTTGGGCATTTTGAGGAAACTGGGCAATTTGAGGACTTGAATATTTTAGGAAATTCAAGAAGTTGAGGCCTAAAATTATCTACAGCACATCAACAGTATCTGAAAGCCTTGTCTTTAACAAATACGAAAAAATCCAGCAAAGAGCTGACACAGGAACTGAGATATGCATCTGGACTATCAAATGACCCAAATGACTTCTGAAGGCTCATCAGAAACGGTTTCAGTGAAAGGGTGGCTGTCAAAAGGGGAACAGGAAGAAACAGCCGAAATATGCCTCATTACACAAAATTAGACTGAAAATCAGTGGCAGGTCTTATGGAGCAATTAATCCAAATTTGAAAATGCTGCTTCACATTGCTTTTCATTGTCATCAGTATGTAAGGAGGAGGCCAGGAGGTAGATATAGCAGTAAGTGTCTACAGTAATCTGTAAAAAAAACAGTGGAGGCAGCATTTCATCCAGCGAGGTTGAAAATTTTGATTGAACTATGAATGCAGAAAAGTAAATGAACAAGAAATTGTTCATCATTAAAGCAAAAGTAAGTGGTACATCACCAGCTTAAACACAGTACCTCATGTAAATCTTACATTTTGTTGGCATTTACAGTGTAGGGCCATAAAAGTTCCAGTAGCAATAATTTTTGACATTAATGTCGTGTCATAACAATAAAGTTGACTGAGAGTTTTTTTTAATGTCAGGTAAATCTATGAGCTGCCACTGACAGTCTGGGTTGCTGTGGAGAAGCCTGGGTTTGGTGCTATTTGGCCAGTAAGGTAGGGTTAGGAGAGGTGTGCTCACATGTTGGTGCCATACTCTACATCGCCATTCTGGCAGCTGTAAATGAACCAGTCACCTTGTGTAGGAGCTGCCGCACCCAAACTATTTTGTTGACCACCTCAGGGAGGTTTCGGCCAATAAGAGGGCCAGACTTGTCACCAGGACTTCCATGGCAGCGTGTCTCAAAGTCAGTTTTCAGACCTGAGAAAACCAAAAGAGAAGAAGAGGGGGGGTCAGAAATCAGAAGTGACAATTTATTACCACCTAGTTTCCCAAAAGAGAGAAGACATATTAGACATATTATTTAACATATAACACTGAACTAATACCAGCATTCCTAGACACTCACCATACTGCTCTCAGGACATTCACTCTAACATCTATAGAATTTTATTGCTCTATTCAAACAAAATCATTTCTAAATTTCTTTCTCCCAGCCTTACACAATAAAATCAGCTGTTATGGACAATAACATTGTTAAAACAACATTAATTCAGCATTCACTGTCACATAAATATACAGCATGCATAAACAGGATTTATTCAAGGTGTTTGTATTATCCTCCAGTGTTTAGACAAATCACTGTAAAGTCAAAAACTGAGAAAAATATGTATGTATGTATGTATGTATGTATGTGTGTGTGTGTACTATGTACCCTTGTTGTCGTCTAGTAATCTCGCCAGTAGGGTCTCTCTCTCTGACTGCAGTTCTTTGCGGATGGTGGGACGTCTTATAAGCTCCTTATGTTTCAGAAATACCTGTAATAGCTGGGAAATAAATACACACTCAGGCAAATCCAGTAAGTTAACTCATCAGCACACACCCACACAATATTTCACAATCTGAGCTGAAGTGTGATGTTTCACTACCTGTTGTGGGTTGTCCTGTACATCAGCTATATAGCTCTTCAGTCTGCCAGCAACCTCCTGCTCTGATGGAGCCATTAGACGCTCAAACTGAGCCACTGCTGCTCTCCAAAGAGGCTATAAAAGCACAAAAAAATCAGAGTAAGCACTGATTGCTATTATTAATCCTCTGCACTTCATGATCACTGATGATGATCATTCCTTCTCTATCTATTCCTGTCACTGTAATTTCCTTCATTGATCAGCTTCTCAAAGTACTCTTTTCATCTTCTTAACACACTCCTGTCACTTTTAAATACATTCACAGCTCCATCTTTAACCATCCTAACCTGCTGCACATCCTTTCAAGCCAATCTAATCTTCCTTAGCACCCAGCCTTACATACAATTCACTATAAGCTTTTTCATTTATCTGTCTACTATTCTTCTTCTTCTTGACAATCCCAATTTTTCTAGGATCTCTACTTCCTGTGGAAGCTGAGAAAAGCCCATCTCCCACCATCCATTCTCACCACCTTCTACAGAGGGACTATTGAGAGCGTCCTGAGCAGCTGCATCACTGTCTAGTATGATAACTGCACAAAATTGGATCGCACTACCCTACAACGGATAGTGAGAACAGCTGAAAAGATCATTGGAGCCTCTCTTCCCTCCATCACAGACACTTATCGTAACCGCTGCATCTGCAACGCCACCGGCATTGTGGAGGACCCCACACACCCGTCACATACACTTTTCACCCTGCTGCCTTTTGGCAACAGGTACCGTAGCATTCAGGCCCTCACTGCCAGACTGCGAAACCGTTTCTTCCGCCAGGTCGTCAGACTCCTGAACACTCAGTGACTGGACTGACACACACACATACCTTCATACACATCACTACCAATCACTTATCTGCAGAATCTCATACACACACGCACACCTTCATGAACCAAGTGACTTTTTGCACAATACTTAATCTTTTGCACATTTCTATTGCACTGTTGTGTCTGCACTGTTTTGTGTCTGTATCATCCTGTTCTGTTGGGTGTTGGACTGTCTTTGTTTGTTTTTTTGTTTTGTTTTTTCAATTTATGCACATTGCACTTTATGTAATCCTCTGTTGATTGTCTGTTATATGTCATATGTAGCACCAGGGTCTTGGAGGAACGTTGTCTCGTTTCACTGTGTATTGTACCACTGCACATGGCTGGAATGACAATAAAGCCACTTGACTTGACTTTTGTTGGACAACCTCTTTCTTTGAATACTTTCCTGTGCTTCCTCATTCCACCACCTAGTGTCTTTATCTTCCTTCTTTGGTTCTGAACACACCAAATATCTTCCTGGAATTTGGTTTCTATCACCAGTTCAGCTGTACTTTCCCAGCCATCTGGTAGCACGTCTCTGCCACACAGAGCCTATTCAGTGGTAAATGTGGTTTAAACTGTGATTCTTCAGAAGTGATAAATACCAATGATTCACTTGAACTGCTACCACTCGGTCTACCACAATCCACAACAGTTGCATATAGATGACAGAAACAAGATACACAGACACGTGAAGTTCTTTATATCGAACCTCTGTATAAGGGTTGTAATGCAGAGGGTTGAGCCCAGAGAATGGTTCGAAAACACGCTCTACAGTCAGAGCCTGTTGCTTCGCTCCTGGTAGCAAACACAGCAGCTTCTCATGAACCACACGTAGAGTCACAACCTGGAAAACATAAACAGAAAAGTGTACAGTGTGCACATCAGTGTCCAATATCCATTCTCACAAGAGTCAACAATATGACTTGTGACTTCTTAGTGTAGAGTAACAAACATCCATGTTCCATCCATGGAAAACAGGGCAGATAAAATATAGTTGTCAGAAAAAAAGAAGAGGAAATAGTGGCTACATGTGTTTCAATTAATAAAACCTTTCTGAAATTAAAAACAAAAATAATCAAATACTCTATTTAATAACAGGTCTTCTTTATAAGAGACTGACAACTTATGAAATGACAAAACTTAGGCCTGAATGTATTTTAACAAGAGCTCCAAAACAATTTTTTTCTATTTATCTATTTATTTTAAGGGCCAATCTCTTTTACTGGTCTTATATTACACTTTTTTGTGTTCTGTTCTTCAGTAGAAAACATGCGAGGGAAAATTCCACCTAAATGTGACGTCTAAAAAAGTAGCAAGAAGGAAACTGATTATTAAAAGTGTGTCTGTAAGTTTCATTTAATCGCTGTATTCAAAGCAAACAACAAAGAGGTTGTGCAAGAACAAGCAAAACAAAACAAAAATTCTGCCTGTTCTCGTTAAAGTAAACAAGAAGTGTTCTGGAACAGAGCCACAGTTTACTTCATTCAATCTGTTTGCGAGGCACTGCAGGGTTTCCGGGGAGTGTTTGTTTCCCTTCCAGGGGTGGGGGGCATGTCTCTTCCACACCTGAGGAAAAAATAACAAAAATAATTTGACAGGTTTCCGGGACTGAACACAAATCATCTTCATCTGGCTTTTAATTCACAAAATGAAGAAACAGTATCTGTCAAATTTTACACACTATTTCCAGCTTGAAGAAAATATATTTCTTACACCATACAGTACATTTGGAGAGTATTCACAGCGCTTCACTTGTTCCATTTTTTGTCACGTTACATCATTATTTTAAACTTGATTAAGTTCAGTTTTCACCAGAAGATTTCACAGACAACACCCCATAATGACAAAGTGAAAAAGGTTTCTGTGAAATTTTAGCTGATTTATTAAAAATGTGTAACGTGACAAAATGTAGAACAAGTGAAGCCCTGTGAATATTTTCCAAATGCACTGTTATTTTTTCTCATTTTCTGAAGCTTCCCATACCTGTCCAGTTAAATGCTCACAGGCTACAACCCACTGTTCACAGATGGCAAAACCCGTTCTCAGGTTCTCTCTCACTAATACAAATGGTTCCTCAAAGATTTTAAGACCACTCAGCTTCCTCTGGACAAATCTCCCCAGGGCCCCGCCTTGTACAGGTAGATATAAAGAAATGCAAAAAGAAGATTAAGAATACAGTTGCTACATGCATATGCATATTAAAAAAAAACCAACAATTTAAAAAAGATTTCACAGGCACATAACAGGTATATTTGGCAACATATTATCCAAAACCCAGAGACCTCGATAGTACGTCACTGCAATCTAAAGCATGTAAGCATTTTATTTTTAGCATAAAGTACGTAATTGCAGTGCGTAGCAAGTACAAAAAAGGACATTTGTTTCAGTTCCCAAAATATGGCCAATTATTACTTTGTAATATAAGGAGTAAGTAAGTACTGTCATTGGCAAATATTTTCTCTCATTTCCCCTTTTTGGTTTGTGTGTGTCTGAGAGTCCTACCGATGACATCCATGAGGCGGACCATGCGTGTCTCTGGGTAAGGGTCGTAATCAGTCTGCCTCCAAATGTCATCCAGAGCGTCCCTGCTCTGTTCCACCAGATCCATAACATCAGACATAGACAGGCTATCGAGACCATCGTATTCCTGGTGGCAACACAAAGAGATCAGTGATCATTTTTAGTTTCCTCTCGGTGTGTTAACAGCTATGTAATAGTAACAAATTACTGTTGAAAACAGCACTTATATAGTGCTAAGCTTTAAAGATTTTAAATGTCTAAATTTGTCATATTGTAAATAACATTGCTTTACCAGCTTATTTATAGAATTATTGCTTAGTACAGTAACAGAATACAGTTCTCATCTCATAGTTTAATTACCTTCCCCCCTTTGTACAAAAACTATATTTAGCATCATATAAATGTATTCATTTTTATTTGTATTCATTTTTTAAATGAGTAAGTCTTGATACATGCATTCATACCTTTTGTATTGGTTTGAAGTGCTCAGTGAAATGTTGAGATCTTTCTCTCAAACTACTCTTCTCTGCAGACTCTGAGAGATCTGCCCAGTACTGGAACTCATCGCTGGGAGTCAGGATGCCTGCAGAGTGTAAGAAATATGATGTACAATGTCTAAAAGTCATAACGTAATCAGTGATATACAAAATGATATACACATACTCGCAAGACGTTTTACCACTCATTATGCATATGATTACATCGCTCCAAAATCCAACAATTTAAAAAACTACCATAACCATTCATTAACACCCTTTCTGCTAAAATATACTCTGCAAACAATATGTGCGCATACCCAAGACATCTTCCTCTGTGCAACCCTTCTTGGCAGAAGGTTGTGTCCCAGACTGGCGAACTACTGAACCCAGACCCAGCTCCAGCTCACTCAGGAGGCCAGCCAGTTTAGGGTCAAATGCAGAACGCCAACGCTCATCCTTGAGAGAACAAAAGGAAAGTTAAAAAAAAACAAAAGGAAAAAAAAAAAAACTTTCTTTCTTAGTCTAACTACAGATAATGATTTTTCATGTAACATATCTGGAACCTCTCAATGCACAGGGACAGACTCACCTTTAGCAGTACAGGTGCGAAAACCTGTCTGACAGCCTGATAGAGGGTGTTAATGGGAGACTCCAGCATGGATGAAACCAGAAGGCTGTGATGAAGGTTATCTTCTGTGATCACTGTGGGACGCAGCTTGAAGAACACCAGCACATTCTCTCTAGTCTCCCCCACAGCTTCAATCTGTGTCAAAGGATGGAGTTGTTGTTGTTTTTTATTAAAAAGGCACTAAACCGTCAAGTCAACACATGGAAGGTAACTGTACAGAACGTCAAATAACATTTTGTTATTTACCCCTCCAATTAGCACCTCTGTGTGAGAGACCACAGTTCAGAGCCAGAAAAAGGTGCCCACCCTAGGTTGGAAATTAGTTTCTGCCTCAAGTGGAGAAGTTCAAGTATATCGGATGTTGTTCACAAGTGAGGGGAGAGTGGAGCAGGACACTGACAGGCAGACTAATCAAACCATCTAGAGAGGGATGTCTAACATCTCTACTTCTGCTGCCTCTTTGATGAACACCCAGATAAGTTGGAGAAAGTGAATCATGTATAAAAAAAAACAAACCCAAATCAATTTCTTTGTTAAGTTGATATTTAGAGATATAAATATTAATTGCATTAATATATTTATTGATAATTCATTTTTAAATATGGATTAGATTGAAAGTTGTTATAGATTTAAACACTGCATCAGTTCAACAACTATCGATGTGTAATGTGACCCTTTTAATAACTTTTTTTTTTTAAAGAAAACTTACCTTATTTGATAAGCGAAGGTCATTGTCATGTCTGCTGACAGATAAGACAAATTCATTTCCATCATCTAAGAAGTTATTGAGCTCTGGGCTGTCAGTCAGTGATGATGATGGCTTTAATCCATAGAAGTTTCCAGTTGTGGTCAGAATAAACTTCTTGCGGACATCATCTGAACCATGTGGCATCTTTCTGCTGGAACTAAAATACTGGCAGCAAGAAAGCAAAGACATCCAAATGTAGGGATAAATAATTGTAAAGGAATGCGTCTTTAAAGAGTAAACACAATTGTATTGCTTATCAAGCATAGATCTTGAGACTAAATAAAAAAATAACAATAATTAAAAGTAACCATAACGAGCGGCTTTGATATACATGGTTATTCAGGATAATCTCGCCTTTTTGCTGTTTTATCCAGCAAGAAATATGCCTTAATATCAAATACTATCAAACTAAATTTCTATTTGAACAGCCTACCGTTGGTAAACCCACGAAACCTTTTACATTCACTGGTTCAGTGTCCAGCTAGAGGTTATTGGGTAGTATTTAGAGTCGCTGAACTGACCCAGTGCTGACATCCCTGCTAAATTAGTAGCTGTTTTTGCGCTGAAACATCGTTAGCACATCAAACCACTAGCTTTTTTCGTTTTGTTTAAAATCAGACTTATGCCTGGAAAGCAGCAGTACCAGGTTGTGGCAAAGGAATGGCCACGGGCAGAGTAAACCATCAGCTAATAGCTAACACTAGCCTTGCCTGTGTAGATTAAAGTGCAGTGCATCAGTTCGCTGGCTCACTTTCGGCGCACAGTCAAGCTACAGAATATCTGGTTTCATACCGTTATGTCTCGAAAAGAAACCAAACTCCGAAAGCTTCTGAATGCTTAATCCATGGTTTGAAGTTTTAGCAAAATTGCCCCTCTCAGTTTGTAAGGGAGTTCGTCAATGCTAGTGTCGTTGCCAGGTAACAACGACGAGATTTTGTTTCACGTGACACAGCTATTCCTACGTAGTTTTTATGCGGCATTTACGTATGCGGCCACATTAAATTAAATGTTTGTTTTGCTTTGTTTTACCACATAGAAATGTTAGAATGCAATAGTATTTATTGCCTTGTTACTTTAATAGTAGAGTAGTATATACTTGCGATTCGGCTACTGTTTCAACGGCGACATTCCGGAAGCTACGCAAGCAGATTTAGATTTTCAAACTAAAAGATCTTATCAATCCGTGAAGCGAACTGAGCGAAACCGCGAGGGCAGAAAAAGTGTAGGTTTTATATTAGCATTAGGAAATGGTCAGGTAGCCTACTGTGAGCCAGTGTGAGTTGCTGAGGTAAGAAACCTTAAATAAGCATGCTTCTGTGTAAGAATAATGTTGCAAAGGATTCAAAACAATAATGACGCGTTTGTTTATCTTATTTAGTAAAGAAAGTGGGATATTGTAGACGTTAGGTGTATGCTGCCCCCCTCCACGTTTGCTGTGTGCTTTCATTTTCACACAATTTAATTTAAGAACAATGTAAGTAAGCTGTGTTAACTGAATCAGTATTGTTTTATCTAATGTGGTTAGCTTCTTCTTTAAGACAAAGATTCCCTGCCAGACATAAATTACTCATCCTAGACTGACCATTTTCGGTCTTGGATAAGGAACTCATACTTGTAAACATGGCAAAAACCACTTCACAAATAGGGATTCCCTTCTGTAAGTAGTTTCGTTTCTTTCACTGACTCTGCGTTGATTCATTTGGCACACACTGTGCTCATATCGCGTTGCGCATTTACATCATGAATGAAGATATTGTTATATATGAAAGTAAGTATGTTACAAAATTGCAAACTTATCTTTAATGCTGAGAAGCTAGTAACACTGACAATCAAATCTGTGGTCACACATTTCTCAAATCACTGTCTAAAGCAATCTTTTCCGTTATACGAGTTCAAGTCAATTTTGTGTTCAGTCTTCAATCACTCCGTTACTAATACAGCACGTGCAAAGACCCTAAAGTGGGACTGATGAATCAGGGTGGCAAGAGAGGAACTGTGATACTATATGAGGATGTCAAGAATGACAAAGAAATATGTGAGTGTGGTACAGGACATATATGAGGACAGAGAGATAGTGGTGAGTGCCACAATATAAGTGACACATTGGTTTAAAGTGGGGATGGGACTACATCAAGGGCAGCTCTGAGCCCTTTCTTGTTTGTAGTAATGATGGACAGGTTGACATACACTACCAGTCAAAAGTTTGGACACACCTTCTAATTTAATGTTTTTTCTTTATTTTCATGGCTATTTACATTATAGATTCTCACTAAAGGCATCAAAACTATGAATGAATGAATACTGAATTTTGTAGTAAACCAAAAAAGTGTGAAATAACTCAAAACATGTTTTATATTTTAGATTCTTCAAAACCGCCACCCTTTGCTTTGATTACAGCTTTGAGTACTGGCATTCTCTCGATGAGCTTCATGAGGTAGTCACCTGAAATGGTTTTCCAACAGTTTTGAGGGAGTTCCCAGAGATGCTGAGCACTTGTTGACCCTTTTGCCTTCACTCTGTGGTCCATCTCATCCCAAACCATCTCGATCAGGTTTAGGTCAGGTGAATGTGGAGGTCAGACTATCTGGCGCAGCACTCCATCACTCTCCTTCTTGGTCAAATAGCCCTTACACAGCCTGGTGTGTTTGGGGTCATTGTCCTGTTGAAAAATAAATGATGGTCCAACTGAACACAAAGCGGATGGGATGGCATGTTACTGCAGGATGCTGTGTTAGCCATGCTGGTTCAGTGTTCCTCAATTTTGAATAAATCTCCAACAGTGCTACCAGCAAAGAACCCCCACACCTGCTCCTCCATGCTTCATGGTGGGAACCATGCATATAGAGATCATCTGTTCATCTTTTCTGCGTTGCACAAAGGCATGGTGGATGGAACCAAAGATCTCAAATTTGGACTCATTAGATCACTTCTGCACAACACAAATGATGGTCCCAAGCCCATTAAGAAGGCAAGAAACTCCACAAATGAACCCTGACAAGGCCCACCTGTGAAGTGAAAACCATTTTAGATGACTACATCATGAAGCTCATTGAGAAAAGGGCAAGGGTTTGCAGTATCGTCAACAAAGCAAAGGGTGGTTACTGTCAAGAATCTAACATATAAGACATTTTTAGAGTTATCTTTTTTTTTCTTTGCTGCATAATTCCATATATCTTGCTTCATATATTATCTTCATTATCTGATATCATCAGTATGCATCTACAATGTAGAAAGTAGTAAAAATAAAGAAAAAAACATTAAATGAGAAGGTGTGTCCAAACATTTGATTAGTAGTGTATGAGGTCAGATGAGATCAAGCAGGGGTCTTTGTGAACTATGATGTTTGCAGATGACATTGTTATACGTAGTGAGAATAGGGAGCAGGTGGAAGAGAATCTGGAGAGGGGGAGGCATGTGCTGGAGAGAAGACAAATGAAAGTCAGTAGAAGCAAGGCTGATTACATGTATGTGAATGAGAGAGAGACAGGTGGAAAGGTGGATCAAAATAGCAAAAGTAGATGAGTTTAAATACCTGGGGTCAGCCATCCAGTGCACAAGACGGGTGAAAAAGTGAGTGCAGACAGGGTGTGGCTGGAGATGAGTGTCAGGGGTGATTTGTGACAGAAGGATAGCAGCAAGAGTGAAAGAGAAGGTTTACAAGAGGGCAGTGAGACCTGCTGTGACGTTTGGTTCGGAGAGGTGGCACTTACAAAAAGACAAGAGGCAGAGCTGAAGGTGGCAGAATTGAAATTGTTTTTCATTTTCATTGTGAATGAACTGAATGTACAGGATTAGAAATGAGTATATCAGTGGGACAGCTCGGGCTGAGCGGTCTGGTTAGAGAGGCAAGGCTGAGATGGTTTGGACAGGTGCAGAGGAGGGAAAGTCGATATATTGGATAAAGGATGCTGAATATTGAGCTGCCAGGCAGGAGAAGAAAAAAAGAATGCCACATAAAAGATTAATGGATTTAGTGATGGAGGTTGGTGTGACAGACGAGGATGCTAGAAATGGGGTGAGATGGAATTAGATGATCTGACTTGGACTGGTAGAAATGTGTAAATCGTGGTCATCATTTTTTTAGGCAGTATAAGCACATTTAAATGGCTTATACTGTTGCCATAAACATGCAGCTTTATGCAGGGACGCCTGTAAAATTATTTTAACAGAGATATTCAGCCTTTGCTTGGTGTGAGGGGAGTTTCACACATGGTACGAGCTGATTTGTTTAATGTCTTGTTTCAAATCTTAGAGCCTTTCCTCCCACATAGTGCTCATTGCCAGCACGTTTCTTTTTCACCAAGCAAGTAAGACAAAGTTTCAAGGTAGTATGTAGAAGATCTTGATATGAAAGTTGTAAGAAAAATGTATTTTGTATTTTATGTGCATTAAATAATATTCCTTTTCATTAAAGGTTTGTCATCTAAATGTTAAATGAAAAGCATAAGGATGAGTCATTTACAAACAATACTGCAGTTTCTTAAATTTTCCCTGGATACATTAAAAAATTCCCACATTATCTGATAAATCTTTTCCACATTGTTTCGTTATTAAATCCGAGTATATTTGCCAGGTGCTGTGGAGAATTCTTTTCTCTAAATGGGTGTGTCAGTGACCTCATGGCCTCGTGAGAAATTGCCGGCCCATCTTGGGTATTCCCCCTATTCCTCGCAGCTAGACACTCCCCCTTTTAACCGAGGCCACTCTAACCAACGTGTTTTGAAAAGGTCAATGCAAAGGAAAACAGAACTTTTACAAGAAACATCCCAAATAATTTCGTATGAACAAAATTTTTATTGAGCTAAAGGTCACTTGAAGGGAAATGCTTTGTGTGTAAATCTTTATCATTTACATGTTAAATTAAACAATAACCTTTCTAATACACTAGAAATGAGAAAATTGTCCACCTGGAAATGTCATATATGGGGAAATAATCAACTAATAATTGTGTCATCAGACACATTGTAATTATTTAACAAGAAAAACAAAAGAAGTTCTAGAAAAGTTGGCAAGAATTCAAAAAACATAATGTCAATGTGAAACACTTTGTGGTTAGTCAAAGAGATGATATGAAAAATCAGAGGTGGGCGTGTACTGTACACTCACAGGTCACTGCCTGTAATAAAACGTCAAAAGCCACAGAGAAAGTCCATAACTTGGCCACACAGAAAGCCACAGTCTTTGTGTTTGTGTGCGTTAACCAGTTTTAGCGAACGTCAAGTACATAGGTTTCCAAGTACATAGTCACATAGGTGGCACAATGAAACATTCACTGTAGTCTGTCAAACAAAGTTACACATGTTAGCTAAGATTCAAAATGAAAATCATAATGAATAATGAATATCGCATGGTGTTTCATCTAAAGCCTTTTTTAAAAATGTGATTTTTGTTATTGTGTTACAACAATAAAACTGGGGTGCTTGCTTATGTCTGTGTTACTGTGCAACCTGAAAGAAAATCAGAATCAGAATCAGAATCAGAATCAGAATGGGTTTATTGCCAGATGTTGAGGTTTACAACATTAGGAAATTGCTGCGGTGCTTCAGTGCAGACAATAAGAATTAAAGTGCTATGTAGAAAGAAAGATATGTGCATGAGATATACATGAGATATATACATGAGAATAAGAATTATGAGTGCTACGTAGAAAGATATATACATGAGTGCAGGTGGTGATCAGTGCCAAACATGAAATGATGCAGTTACACAGCGTAGGGTCATATGTTAGTGGCGGGGACAATCATGTGGTTATTGTTCATGTGTCCAACAGCAGAGGGGAAGAAACTGTTCTTGTGGCGAGAGGTTCTGGTGCGAATGGTCCGGAGCCTCCTGCCTGAGGGGAGCAGGTCAAACAGACTGTGTCCAGGGTGAGAAGGGTCAGCTGAGATCCGAGCTGCACGCCGCAGAGTCCTGGAGGTGTACAGGTCCTGCAGAGATGGGAGTCTGCAGCCAATCACCTTCTCAGCAGAGCGCACAACACGCTGCAGTCTCTGTTTGTCCCTGATAGTGGCTCCAGCGTACCACACGGTGATGGAGGAGGTGAGGATGGACTCGATGATTGCAGTGTAGAATTGCATCATCGTCCGTGTTGGCAGGTTGAATTTCTTCAGCTGCCTCAGGAAGTACATCCTCTGCTGGGCTTTCTTGATGACGGAGGTGATGGTGGGCTCCCACTTCAGGTCCTGGGTGATGGTGGTACCCAGGAAGCGGAATGAGTCCACAGAGGTGATGGGGGTGTCAGTCAGGATGATGGGGGGAGTGGGGCTGTGTGCTTCCTGAAGTC